GATTCTGATTGCACTCTGGGCTCTCTGGGATGAGCCTAATAAAGGAGGCAGCGTCCTGGAGGGAGGACACAGGACGAGTGACTGGAGGAGGACAGCATTTCTGCCTTCAAAACATTTTCCTGTTAGGGTCGGGGCAAGGTCGTAGGTACCTGTGGGGTCTCGAAGAAGAGCAGACGCTTTCCCTGCCTTCAAGCAGCGCACAGGGCCCCGGAGCAGAGCAGCGCCGTGAGGTTAACATAAGGCAGGGCCAGAAAGGGTAAGGACGCTCCAGGCGCGCCTCAGGGACAAAGAGGAGGGGGCCGGTGCTGGGCACTGGGGACAAAGTGGTGTGCGATGTGACCCCTGCAGGGCGGGGAGGACACGAGGGGTGGAGGGGGGCCTGGGGGCTGTGATGGATGTGGAGGGGCCGTGGGAGTCTCCTCTGCGTGAGCCTGGGAAGATCCATGCCGGCTGTTCGTGGACACCGAGTTAGGATCACGTTGTGGAGTTGGCATTTCACCGGCAGGCAGTGGGCAGCCATTTGTGCATGGGGACAACGTGACTTAGGGAGCTGGGTGTGTCCCTGGCTCGTCAGGCAGATGGAAGAGGGAGAAGCTACAGGCCCTGGGTGTGGGTGTGGCAGTGAAGATGGCGACAAGAGCCCCCGGGATGGGCATCCTGCCTGCGGAGGTGGGGGGTGCACGTGCTCGGTGCAGAAGGGTGGCCCCAGCAACTGACAAGGAGGTCACAGAGCACGTGGGTACCATGGGAGAGGCGCTGGCTTTGGATGGCCTGAGTTGGAGGTGTCCGTGGGATGTCTGGGTAGAGGTGTATAGTGGACATGTAGAAATGGGGTTTGAATTGGGGGGGAGGACAGAACCGGCGCTAGATTTTGTCACAGGTGGGGACAGAAGCAAGAGTTCCAGCAATAGGGGTTCATCGTTCAGGGCTTCCGGAGAGCAGTGTTCCCACTCACCATGGGAGGGTGGAGCTGTGTTTCTGGAAGATGATTTGACAATGTATCAGAAACCTACCAGAGAACCTAGCCCTTGACTCAGGATCGCATTTAGACAAGTGTGCAGAGGTGACCGCACAGTGTTGACTAGTGAGGAACTGGAAGCCAGCTAAGCCTGCACCGGGGGCGAGGGGACGGGTCACAAGACGGAGCAGTCGCAGTGCACAGGCGCGAAGTTACTCAATGGTAAGGTAGGTTCATTGACATGAAACATGGTATGCGTGATACGTCATTAAGTTAAAAAAGTAGGTTAGAAAATGGTATAGTCCTGTTTCTAGAAGAAGAATGTACATATATTTCTAGAAAACAAAGTACGTAAAAATATAAATTAGATGTTGATGACTTGTGATTTTTTCTTTTTCGCTTAGCCATGTTTTACTGCAGAGTGTGAGTTATTAACACTTCCCCTTTATAATGGTAGAGTTGCCAGAAGATGACAGGCGTGGTGGAGAGAACGGGTCAGTGGACATGGAGCCGGATGGCAGGAGGTGACTGAGACCCAGTCCTGAGCCCCACAGGGTGGGAAGCGTGTGCAGGTGTTAGAGGAGCCACCGGGCGGCATCTGTCTGCCAATGCTTGGTGCTTCCTGCTGTCGCCCCCTCTGCTGACACCCACGGCTGCTGTGGGAGGCCGGACAGTGGCAGCAAGACGGCGGTGGCCCCATCTAGGGAGGGGCAGTCGGCCAGTGCTCTGATGTCTGCCTGTGGTGGCAGTGGCGGTGTTGAGCCATGGCAGTGCCTTTCTGTGGTGCACAGACTGCCACCAGCCCCCGAGGCGAAGGGAGAGGAGGCCAAGGTCACGCTTGTTTGCCCTCCCGCCTCCTCTCCTGGCCTGGCTGCCTCCAGGCTGGGCACGGGCTCGGGAGAACCAGCAGGTGCAGATGGGAGCTGGCGCTGAGGCCACCCCGACCACAGGGCCAGGCCGTGCAAACACTGGGGCACTCGCCGTGGGCGTCCAGAGCAAGGCTCTCTCAAACCTCCTTATGTAGTGATGCACGGTGGTCCCCCTCACCTGCAGGGACTGTTCCCAGAACCCCAGTGGATGCCCGAAACCGCGGATAGCACTGCACCCTGTCTATACTATGTTTTTTCCTACATATACGTACCTATGAGAACGTTTAATGCATACATTAGGTACAGTCAGAGATTAACAACAAGCACTAATAAAGTACAACAGTTACGGTAATACACCGTGAGGAGGGATGTGGAGGTAGTCTCTCTCAGGGCCAGGGCTCGCTGGAACTGCGGAGGCGTTTAATGCATACATTAGGTACAGTCAGAGATTAACAACAAGCACTAATAATAAAGTACAACAGTTACGGTAATATACCGTGAGGAGGGATGTGGAGGTAGTCTCTCTCAGGGCCAGGGCTCGCTGGAACTGCGGAGGCTGAGCTGCGATGCGGGCGCTGCAGCCACTCGCTCCCGGGCAGGACGACTGTGCGTGAACGCGGCCGTGGGGGGCCGTGGTCAGCGCTGCATCCTCCTGGGTGGGCCTCATTTCTGGGAAATCTCACCTGAGGGAGGAGTATGGGTCCCACCTGCCCTAGGTTTGGAGGGGAAAGGGGCAGGAAGGGAGAGAGACCATTTGGCTGTCCTGTCCCCGTGTCCTGGCAGGCGCAGCAGGGTCAGGGCACCTTTGTTCTGCGAGCACGTGGAGGCCTGGGCTGTGGGGTGGGAAGATTCCTCCTCATCTCCAGCTTGGAGCTCAAAAGCTGGGATGGTGGAAGGAGGCTCCCATTTTTCAGCCCAGATGTACCTTATGATCCATCTGGAGAAAGGAAGTGACTGCCCCCATCCCCACAAGGAATTTGCTCACTTCACTGTAATTTACCAGTAACCCTCACGTGAGAAAACCCAGGAAACCTCAGGAAACCGAGAATGGAGCACAGGTTTTGGGCTCTCGTGCTCCACCAGAGCTTGGAGTGGCCTTTCTTGCCCCCTCAGTGCACATAGACCATCCCCAGGCCAGGTCTGTCTCATGGGAAGGCTGGGCCCTCCCGCTGAGCTGCTTCTGAGACCTGGGACCTGCCCCAGGACCATGGCGGGAAGGGGCTTAGAGATGGACAAGTGACCGAGTGCTGCCTTGGCACAGGGCTGGGGGGAGGTGGCAGGGGTAGATGTTGGGGGCCCGGGGAATGCGTCACCTGGAGGTATGGGCTGCTCCTCTGAGGTCTGCCGTCTTTCCTGCAGCAGCCACCTCAGCATGGAGAGTGGTGCCAGCTTGGTGTCCACCCCCGGGACGCTGCCTTGCTACGTGGCCTTCTCCCAGCTGCTGGGCCTGACCGTGGTGACCATGACTGGCGCTTGGCTCGGTCTGTACCGAGGCGGCATTGCTTGGGAAGGCGCCCTGCAGTTTAACGTGCATCCCCTGTGCATGGTCATTGGCCTGATCTTCCTGCAGGGAGATGGTGAGTCCTGTGGGGCCGGCTCCCCAGAGCTGCTCCTCTGGGCCTGGGCTTGTCCCTGAGGGAGGTGGTTTGCAGGGATCCTATCATCCCTGAGGTCTCTTCCAGTCAAGACACATCTAGGGTTCTAGAAAAGACAGAGAAAGAAGCTGGCTTAGAGCCTGGGGAGACGGAACCCAAGTTGGGCCCTGAGGTTGGTGGGTGGCGACTCCTCTTGAACTTGTCCCAGCACTTTTTCCTCGGGCCTCACCAAGGAGCACCCAAGGGGCATGTGCTTTGCAGAGCCCAGTGCCAGGGGCTGGGCTGTGAGCTAGGCTGTCTTTCGGGGTGGTTCGAAATTGGGGAAAAAGCGTATGTGAGCATGGGTGTGTTGTTGTACTTGGAGTTGGCAGAGCTAGAGCTCCCCTTGCTGGGTTAGGAGCAAGGTGGTGCGTGGCCTCCCCGCAGCTCCAGGCCAGGGAACGAGGAAGCTGGATCCTACATCTGGTTGACCTGCTCTTCCCAGAGGCGGTCCCGGTGACGGCCACCCCCTTGCAGCAGAATACTAAGAGGCATTCCTCACACGACCTGGCCCTGCCGCTGNCGCGGATAGCACTGCACCCTGTCTATACTATGTTTTTTCCTACATATACGTACCTATGAGAACGTTTAATGCATACATTAGGTACAGTCAGAGATTAACAACAAGCACTAATAATAAAGTACAACAGTTACGGTAATATACCGTGAGGAGGGATGTGGAGGTAGTCTCTCTCAGGGCCAGGGCTCGCTGGAACTGCGGAGGCTGAGCTGCGATGCGGGCGCTGCAGCCACTCGCTCCCGGGCAGGACGACTGTGCGTGAACGCGGCCGTGGGGGGCCGTGGTCAGCGCTGCATCCTCCTGGGTGGGCCTCATTTCTGGGAAATCTCACCTGAGGGAGGAGTATGGGTCCCACCTGCCCTAGGTTTGGAGGGGAAAGGGGCAGGAAGGGAGAGAGACCATTTGGCTGTCCTGTCCCCGTGTCCTGGCAGGCGCAGCAGGGTCAGGGCACCTTTGTTCTGCGAGCACGTGGAGGCCTGGGCTGTGGGGTGGGAAGATTCCTCCTCATCTCCAGCTTGGAGCTCAAAAGCTGGGATGGTGGAAGGAGGCTCCCATTTTTCAGCCCAGATGTACCTTATGATCCATCTGGAGAAAGGAAGTGACTGCCCCCATCCCCACAAGGAATTTGCTCACTTCACTGTAATTTACCAGTAACCCTCACGTGAGAAAACCCAGGAAACCTCAGGAAACCGAGAATGGAGCACAGGTTTTGGGCTCTCGTGCTCCACCAGAGCTTGGAGTGGCCTTTCTTGCCCCCTCAGTGCACATAGACCATCCCCAGGCCAGGTCTGTCTCATGGGAAGGCTGGGCCCTCCCGCTGAGCTGCTTCTGAGACCTGGGACCTGCCCCAGGACCATGGCGGGAAGGGGCTTAGAGATGGACAAGTGACCGAGTGCTGCCTTGGCACAGGGCTGGGGGGAGGTGGCAGGGGTAGATGTTGGGGGCCCGGGGAATGCGTCACCTGGAGGTATGGGCTGCTCCTCTGAGGTCTGCCGTCTTTCCTGCAGCAGCCACCTCAGCATGGAGAGTGGTGCCAGCTTGGTGTCCACCCCCGGGACGCTGCCTTGCTACGTGGCCTTCTCCCAGCTGCTGGGCCTGACCGTGGTGACCATGACTGGCGCTTGGCTCGGTCTGTACCGAGGCGGCATTGCTTGGGAAGGCGCCCTGCAGTTTAACGTGCATCCCCTGTGCATGGTCATTGGCCTGATCTTCCTGCAGGGAGATGGTGAGTCCTGTGGGGCCGGCTCCCCAGAGCTGCTCCTCTGGGCCTGGGCTTGTCCCCGAGGGAGGTGGTTTGCAGGGATCCTATCATCCCTGAGGTCTCTTGCAGTCAAGACACATCTAGGGTTCTAGAAAAGACAGAGAAAGAAGCTGGCTTAGAGCCTGGGGAGACGGAACCCAAGTTGGGCCCTGAGGTTGGTGGGTGGCGACTCCTCTTGAACTTGTCCCAGCACTTTTTCCTCGGGCCTCAGCAAGGAGCACCCAAGGGGCATGTGCTTTGCAGAGCCCAGTGCCAGGGGCTGGGCTGTGAGCTAGGCTGTCTTTCGGGGTGGTTCGAAATTGGGGAAAAAGCGTATGTGAGCATGGGTGTGTTGTTGTACTTGGAGTTGGCAGAGCTAGAGCTCCCCTTGCTGGGTTAGGAGCAAGGTGGTGCGTGGCCTCCCCGCAGCTCCAGGCCAGGGAACGAGGAAGCTGGATCCTACATCTGGTTGACCTGCTCTTCCCAGAGGCCGTCCCGGTGACGGCCACCCCCTTGCAGCAGAATACTAAGAGGCATTCCTCACACGACCTGGCCCTGCCACTGTGGCCCTACGCGGGGGATTAGGTTGGGATCACAAGGTTCTGCTTTGGGAACCAGAAGCCTCCTTGCTAAAAGTAGGGACTATCTGACTAGGCTTCAACACTGGACTATCTGAGGAGCAGCATAGCTAAAAGGTGAATTCAGAAGCTGGCTGTCACCTCAGGGTGACTGCACGATGGGTCCACGACAGCCTGGAATTCACAGGACACCTGACCAGAGGCTGGGATGGTGGGTGGTGTGTCTACTGGGCCCAGCAGTGACTTTAGTTAGGGACTGTGGGCAGTCCCCTGGCTTCGCTGCCTTTGTGGTGGTAGGAATTGCAGCACAGCTTCCCATCCTGGCCCCTTTGGGTGTGCAGGGGGTGGGGAGTTGGTTGGGCAGGGCTGGGGGGGATGTGAAGGCACCCACAGCCCTTGGGTCCCCTCTGTGAGGGCCAGGAGCCACCCATGGGCCCTGGGGAGCCTTGTTTTTTCTTCCAGTTCCTGTAGCTGGGGGACTGTGACAAGCCCTCAACTCAGATCACCTCTCCAGCCAAGGCGTGCCTCCTGGCTGCTCGTGGCAGGGTAGCCTCGAGCACAAGCTAATGCCCCGACATTCCCTTTCTCACTTTCCATAAGCACTGCTGGTTTACCGGGTCTTCAGGAATGAGGCCAAACGCACCACCAAGGTCCTGCACGGGCTGCTGCATGTCTTTGCGTTCGTCATAGCCCTGGTGGGTGAGTTCCTGGCACAGCCTGTCCTCTCCACAACCTGCTACTTCAGGCTTGGGAAGTAGCTGCTTGACACTCCGCCTTCCCTGCCCCCTCTCCAAACATCCCAGGCAGAGACACTGGGTGCTGGCAGCCATCAAGCTGGGACCGAAGCCCAGAAGTCCCGGGTAGCTGGTTTCCCTTGTGTCATCTCACCCCCCTCCCTTTTCCACATCCAACCCTGTCCTTACATGACTGCTGTCACTGTCCAGGCTTGGTGGCGGTGTTCGACTACCACAAGAAGGAGGGCTATGCTGACCTGTATAGCCTGCACAGCTGGTTTGGGATCCTTGTCTTCGTCCTTTACTTTGTGCAGGTGAGTCCTTCCAGCACCCCAGCTCCCGGGGCCACCGGCAAGGCATGGCGGAGGTGGGGCAGTAGGGCTAAGCGGGTGCGATAGATGAGCCCACTTTCCAGGATGTGAGCCCAGATGGTTGGGTGCTGCCTTCTGATGCTGCAATGGGGCAAACCCAGGGTCTGACAGGCAAGAGTGCCGGGATCCCAGGCGCCCTGCCAGTGACGTGCATGTGCTGTTTGGCCACATGCTGGCCATCTGTGTATGAGTACGGTGGACTGAGCCGAGGCATCGACACTGGGGCCGGGACCCTCTTGCCGTCAGTGCTTCCACTGTCCAGCACTGTGCTTACTGCAAGGGGTCAGTGGTCCTCGCGTGGCACAGCCTGCCTTGGAGGTCCCCCTGGCTGCTCGGGGACGGCCGGCGCAGTCTCCAGAACCGCCTCTGCTTTTCTGCTAGTGGCTCGTGGGCTTCAGCTTCTTCCTGTTCCCTGGAGCTTCGTTTTCTCTGCGGAGCCGCTACCGCCCACAGCACATCTTCTTCGGCGCCACGATCTTCCTCCTCTCTGTGGTCACAGCCCTGCTGGGCCTGAAGGAGGCACTGCTGTTTGAACTTGGGTGAGTGTCCCAGGACGTGAGCAGGCAGGCCCACGAGCGCCTGCAGAGAGTGAGCCCTGCTCCCTGTGGCCCTGGACATTTGCTTTCCGAGCTGGCTTTTTGTGGACTTTGACGAGCAGTGGTTTTTCTGTCTGGGCAGTGGCTGGAGGGGCTGGTATTGGAATACCCGTGGCATCTTTCAGGTCTAGGATACAAATGGCACTTGACCTCACTGTGACTCTTGCATCCTCCCCCTGCAGGGCCAAGTATAGCAAGTTCGTGCCTGAGGGTGTCCTGGCCAACCTGCTGGGCTTGCTGCTGGCCTGCTTCGGCGCCACCGTGCTCTACATCCTGACTCGTGCCGACTGGAAGCGGCCTGCCCAGGCCGAGGAGCAGGCCCTCTCCATGGACTTCAAGACACTGACGGAGGGAGATAGCCCCAGCTCCCAGTGACAGCCTTCCTCGTCCTGTGTGGAGGGGCCTAGCAGCCCCTAGGTCCTGTAGGGGTCCTCAGAGGTGTCTGTTTGCCCACTACCTGCTGAGGCTGTCTACAGGACTGGTGGCTCCCATGGACGGGCTGGGGAGTGTGGCTGCAGCTGTGTCTGTTTTAGCACTGACTTCTGGGCTTAGGGCTTGTCCTCTGCTTTCCCTTCCTCGCTGCTGCTGTAGATGAGTCCCGTTTGTCCTGCGCAGGCCCTGTTCCCCTGTTGCCCCCTCACATGCAGAAGGCTTTGGTCAAGGGTTTGGGTGGTCAGCCCTGGTCACAGAAACACAGATCCCTGTAAGAGCTGGAGAGCGGCTCCTCCCTCAAGGCAGCAGATGTCTAGGCTGAGGCCAGGGGAAAGTGTGGGGCCTCAGGGACAGGCCTGGAAAAGCCAAGACTGTTGCTTTATGTAACCCTGAGTTCACACCAGGAGTCCCTCTAGCCTGAATAACACGTGGTACAAATGGGCCCAACCTTTGGCAGTGGAGCCAGTGATATTACATGTAAAGTATGTTGGTGTTCAGAGCAAGGTTCCCCAGGAGAGGGGAGGGACTTGCCCCTGGGAAGCACCAGAGATGTGGCTTAGGCCCAGCTGCAGTCTTGGGCCTTCCTTTTCTTTAACCTTTTAGCTCCAGAATGGCTTTGCCAGGAGAGAGGATAGAAACACATGACTTCAGACAAACTTCCCCATGGCAGATGAGGGGCAGATGAGGGCAGCCTGAATAGCAGGCAGGAGATGGCCCTCTCCAGAGGGTGCTGTGGCTTGGGCGGTGGAGGCTGGTGTCCTACAGTCCCTGCTGCAGAGACTCCCTTCCAGCAGTGGCCTGGCCTCAGCCAGCAAGCTCCTGCTTCCCCCCACCCCCCACTCTTCTCAGCCCCGGTTTCCACTGACAAGCTGGTTCCTGCACTGCTCTGACTGGGAGGTGCGAGCACTTTTTGTTTTTAAATGAAAAGCTGTTGCCTCCTTTTGATGGGGCCCCACAAGGGCTGCTTGCTGGCTGAGCTCCTCTTACTTGAGCTGCCTGCTTCTGATGTGAAAGATAAGCCTCCTCCTTTCTTACCTGGTGCCCATCTTTGCAGGAAAAAGTCAGGACTGAGTCAGAATTGGATTAATCCTCTGTGGTGTCTGGACATCACTCTAACCCCATAAAGTGTGTTGTGTTTTTCGCTGAGTCACTATTTGGCTTCAGTCTGGAAATAACGTGATTAGAGCATTGATCTTGTGCTTCTTGGATTTGGCAAATGCTCTGTTTTC